AGAACTACCCTCCTTTTTCAGTCACTACGAGACTAGCGGCCAAAAGGATCAACAAGGAAACCCCCTCTAAGGTTTCCCTATGAAACTGCTCACATGGAATCTTCGTGGCCTCGCTTCTTCGTGCCCGAGGTTACGTGATATTATTAGGCACTATTCTGTGAATATGGTTACAATTATTGAACCTCTAGTTGATCAAAATAAAGGTAGTTACTTTATGCACATGATGGGTTTTTCGAATTTGTATATGGCAGCTACAAATAAAATATGGTTAATGTGGAATGCATGTGAGTTTGACGTTTCCTCCATAATTGAAAAAGACCAGTTTTTAGTAGCTAGGGTGGTGTACACCCCACTAGATTATGCATTTGTTTTCTCCCCAGTTTATGGGCTTCATACCGGGCAAGATAGGGCCCGTCTTTGGGCAGGTTTAACTGAAGTTGCAAATATGGGTGACTCGTCTTGGCTACTGGGAGGAGACTTTAATGTGGTTGCTTCTATATCTGAGTATAAAGGGCCGTCTAGCCCCCATTTGAATGATATTTTGGATTTTCAGGACTGCATTGATGAGTGCATGCTTTCTCAATTACCTGTTATTGTGTCCACATATACTTGGTCACGCATGAGGTCGAATGGCAGAATCTGGGAGCGATTTGACCGTTATCTGGCAAATCAACAATTTGTGGCTAATTTTGATGCAATACACATTCAACATCTAAGTAAAACCCCTTCATACCATTGCCCAATCCTTCTAATGTGTCAAGTGAGTACGCGCAAGGGTCCAAAGCAATTCCGCTTTCAAAATATGTGGTTCACTAATGATGAGTTTTTGCCTTTCGTGTCTAAGAAATGGAAAGAATATCCTACGGTGGGTGGTATGAGGGGACTTTGTGCTAAACTAAAGTATCTAAAGGCAGATTTGAAGAGCTGGAACCGGGAGGTGTTTGGTGACATTTTTAGATCCACCCAAAAATTGGAAGTTGAGGCGTTGGCGGCGGAAAAAGAAAATGAGGAGTACCCTACTCATCTTAACAGGATAAATGGTCATAAAAACACGATGAGCTTATTCTAAGGATTAAGCAACAAGACATTTTCTGGAGACAAAAAGCCAATGTTAAGTGGATAAAGCAAGGGGATGCTAACACGCAATTTTTTCATGAGACTGTGCGAGACAAGATTAGAAGGCAGCACCTTAAGGCCATCAAAAAATCTAATGGGGAGTGGTGTTATGACTCAGAAGAGATTGGTAGGGAAGTTGTGGTTTATTTCTCTAATCTTTATGCTAAAGGTCACGTTCATGATTTTGAGAGGATGTTACATTATATACCTAAGATTTTGGATGAGAGTGATAATAGCATTCTATCATAATTGCCGGAAGAAGATGAAGTTAAAGAGGCTGTCTGGGGGCTCAATCAGGAAGCAGCACCGGGGCCCGATGGTTTTGGAGGGGATTTTTATAGAGGCTGTTGGGACATTATCAAGAGGGATGTGATTATGGCGGTACAAGAATTTTTTATGGGTTTTGCTATACCTAAAGGAGTAGGTAGTGTTAGCATGATTTTGATACCCAAGAAAAAAAGTCCTACTACATTCGGAGATTTTCGTCCTATTTGCCTCTCCACTTTTGTTAGCAAGATAAATACTAGAATTTTGGCGTCCAGAATGGGAGGTATTCTGCCCAAAATAATTTCTAAAGAGCAATCAGGGTTTATGAAGGGTAGAGAAATTAAAAATCAAGTACTGGTGGCATTGGAGATGTTACACAGTCTGGATAAAAAGGTGAGAGGATCCAATTTGGTTGTGAAGCTGGATATGGCGAAAGCATTTGATAGGGTGGACTGGGATTTTCTTGATTCTATTCTGGACAATTTTGGCTTTGATATGAGAGTTAGAGGGTTGATTCTGGGAAATCTAAAGAGTACATATATCTCGGTTTTATTTAATGGAGCACCCTATGGCTTTTTTCATCCCTCTTGAGGGGTCAAACAGGGGGGCCCACTCTCTCCTTTACTCTTTATCATTGTATCTGAAGCTTTCTCGAGAGGTTTGAATAGGCTGAGGCAACGGGGGAGATTGAAGGTTATAATATTGGAAGAGGAAGTCAGATTACCCACCTAGCATTTGCGGATGACTTGATGATCTTTCTGAATGGATCCTCCAAGTCTATTAAAAATTTTAATAAATTTTTGCAATCATATCGGGATGCTTCTGGTCAGCTGGTAAATAAAGATAAAAGCAGCTTTGTGGTAGGCTAACATACTACATTGGGGGGAATTTTATCTATTGAAAATGAGCTGGGAATGAAATCTTCTAAGTTGCCTATCAAATACTTAGGGGTCCAACTTCACAAAGGTATTACCTGTACTGATCATTTGCGGATGACTTGATGATCTTTCTGAATGGATCCTCCAAGTCTATTAAAATAGCTATTTGCTGCCGTTAATTTTAGCTATTTGCTGCGTTCTGAACCGCAGCAATTGGCAGGGCAGCAAATAGTAGGAATATGTATTTGCTGCGGTTCCGAACCGCAGCAAATAGCTATTTTAAAAAATGAATTTTGACTTATTGCTGCAGTTCTGAACCGCAGCAAATAGATATATGACCGCAGCAAAAACTCTCTATACTATTTCAATAATATTTTGTTTTGTTTTGCAATGCCACCCATGTTATAAAGTTGATTGTTTATCAAAATACTCCGTATATCTTATTTAAAAATAAGAAACAATTCATTTCTACAATCCAATATTTCATTGCCACAAAATCAAAATCATAATTACAAGAATTAAGTAATACAACACCAAAATTCATAATGAATACATCACAAATTTTGTTTCTTTTAAAACTAAACAGTAGTATTATGTAGCACTATTCCATACTAATCTTAATAAGCTTGTGCAGACTCTTGATCCATGTGTGTCGATTACGGCCTACTTGATCAAGTAACGTTACTTCTACACACGCTAGGCAAAGACTCATTCACTTATCTCCAATTGATTCAATCATATATTCCTTGTGGGGTACTTCTCTTTGGAATCAGTGAAGGAGTTTTAAACATCTGTAACAATCAGATTAGCTCTTAAAATTCAAATTAATAATACCAACAATCAGATATAAAATGAGTATGAGGCATTCCCTTCTTCAAGGCTTAAAGTCGTTACCATTTTAGGAGCCTTATGAATGAAGTTTATTTGTGCCTTTGTATCAGTATCCTGAAAATACATAAGGTGAAAGTGTGAGTGGGTGGAGGGACGACCAGTGTGCAGTTGTGGACTTGTGATAAACTATCCTCCACAAAAACTAAAATATTTATAAAAGAAAAAGATAGAACCTTGTGCAGCAGACCACCTTCAAGCTTCTGTCTCTTGCTAGCATGGTTATCACTGACAATTGCTTTTGGCTGCGCTGTATCATGCACTGAATTAGGAAATCTGGCATTCAAAGAATTTCAATCTTTGGAATTCATTATTAGAATGAAAAATGTACATGTAATATGTAAAATTCAAATTCAAAGCAGTATTAGGTATTAACCATGTACATTGCAATCACACATAATAACTATTAAAAAAACTACATGAAATGTTTGCTAGTATGAACAGTCATATTATACATGTAACCATAGACTTAAGGTTATCTCGTGAAACTTCTGACTTTTTTTGAACAAAATACATGTAACTTTAGCTTTGTTTGGTCAAAATGAACTCTTTTTTGGGACAGATAGTTGCCATTGGATCAAAATGTCAAACAGATTGTAACCATTACTGTGTCATTAGCCTTTAGCAATTCTTCTCTAATCAATCTCAACAGCACAACAGCATAAAATGGCAATGCAATTCCGCCACATGTTACTTCCTCTGCACATCCAAAACTTTTAGATGGTTGCTACACTTTTGATCTCACCTGGCTCATAGTGATTATTTAATTTGAAGATATTATTTAAAAAAACTAAAACAGAAAATCAAGGAAATATGTTGATCCAATAACAAAATTCCAACCTGGTTAATAAAAATAATAAGAGCACTTGAATTGCAGAGTGAATAATGGATTTTACGTAGTGCTCTTGTCATAATTTTGGATTGTACATCTTGGTAGGAGTCACCAATACAAGCGTCAATTTCAAGTTGGGGAATAAGAGCAGTGACCTAAAGAGTACAAAGCCAATAGGTTGGAACTTAATAGAAACAATTACAGTTTTCTTAATAAATTATAATGAAAGTGAAAATCAAAGAAAAATCTAAAATGGCTGAATTTCTGAATGTGTGGTTGAAATGGTTGATTCAAACTGAACTTAAATCAAAGAAAGACCTAAAATGGCTGAATTACCGTGAATATACTCACACACACATATATAACATTGGAAATACAGTCAACCTTACTTGCCCAAGATGATGCCTAAGTTGTAGATCCAGGAGTAGCTAGAGTGCTGATAGCGGCGGCCAATACTGGAGGACAGGAGGAGCAGAGGCCGATGCTGAAGGATCGGCGGCCGGTGCTGGTTTCAACCTAGCGGATCTACTCCCTTCTTTGTTTGCACCTGCATTTTCAATCTGGAGGTACCACTCTTGGTTGCTGAGACGGTTTCTGCTGCAATAGATGCGGCAGAGGCGTGAGGTGTCGTTGCTAGGTGAAGGGCAAGGCCACGGGGTCGCGATGTCGGGCGGTGCGTTCCGGACAGAATGGTGGGCTGGAACTGGCGAAGCTGCTAGATGAAGCTTGGAAAAGTGGAGAGAAGAGCGGATGAAGTGATAAACTGGGGGAGAGAAGAGCGGATAAACTAATCTTATTTGCTGCGGTTTACCCTTACCCGTAGGAAAAAGTATCCTCTACAGCAAAAAAATTCGAAATTGGAAATATAATAAGTATTTGCTGCGGTTCCTCTACGACCGCAGTAAAAAGTATGAAGTTTTACTACTTTTTGTTGCGGTCGTAAAGGAACCGCAGCAAGTACTTATAAATTTTGCTTATTTGCTACGGTTTAGATACGAACCGCAGCAATTGGGTAGCAACAAATAAGGAAAATTCTAGTAGTGATACGGATGAGGGGGTTTTTACAACTAAGTCAGCTTATTTAGCTCTTTGGCCGCAGCAGGGGAGGACTCTATCTAATTTACAGATTTGGAATCCAAAACAAATTCCCAAAATTAGGATTTTTCTATGGAGATTATGGCATAAGTGTCTACCATTCCCGGAACAGCTAGTTACCTTCTCCACAGTATACCCGACCATTTGCCCTTTTTGTAAAGGGGCTAATGTAACAGAAGACCACGTCCTTCTTCTCTGTCCTTTAGCCAAATCAGTTTGGAGTTTCTTCTCAAATACTCTGCTACAGGGAGGGAGGCAAGTTAATAGCATCAAATTGGAGCTTATGAAATGGTGGATCACTAAAGCAGAAAATACAATGGATACAATTTACTTGATGGTATTACCTGGAGTCATTGTGTGGCATCTGTGGAAAGCGTACTGGGAAGCGGTTTGGAATGACTCAGTTTGGGTTGGCCTGAGCATCTGCCTCGGTCATTGCATACACCCGTGCTTGGGTCCTCCCTTGGTTAACGGACGCGGCGTTACTAGCTGTGGGTCCGCTCCTTCCCGTGTCGGCCTGTGATGGTCCCACACGTCCCCTACTAGCCGTAGGTCCTTCAATGGCCCCTGTTGGCCCCCCTCCGTTCAACATCGGGCAAGAGAGCTTGAGGTGACTTGTGCTACCGCACTTGTAGCACCGGGGTGATTCATTGCACTTCCCAGCATGGTTCTTGGTGCAGTTTGGAGACCTCGGTGGCCTCCCACTCCCGGAGTTGTGCCCTTGCCCTCCTGGGCCCTTGCTCTTCTTTGCCGGGGGTACCGGCGCCCTAAATGAATTCCCATTCCCGGATTGATGTTTCCGAGAATGGTCTCTGAGTCCAAAATTTCCCCACCTCCTCTTCTTCGCCTCCTCGGCATCTCTCTTCTTCCTTTCATTCCACTTGGCTTTCCCAAAGAGCCCCTGATCAACAATCTCACTAAACGTCATGTGATGATTGTAGGTAGCCCGATCACGGATATCCAACTGTAGGGTATCCCAAAAGTGATTGGCCATGCGATTCTCATCCATGGCGTACTCAGGTATGTATCGTGCCAAGTCCCGGAACCTCTGTTCCAATTGTCTCACCGAGCAGTCCTCCTCTTGCACCAATGTCATGTACTCTTTCCTCTTTTGGTTCTTCTCAAACTCTGAACAATACTGATTATAAAATTCTACTTCAAATTTCTCCCAGGTGGTCTCGCCGTGGAACTTCCCCTTCACGCCTTCCCACCATACAGCCGGTACTCCCTCCAGTGGCATGGTAGCTACCGTCAGCTTTATGTCAAGCCCGATCTGCATGTCCCTAGCAGCCTCATTTAGCTTCTTGATCCAGTCGGCCTCCACCGATATATCGCCCTTGCCATCAAATGACTTGCACCCCAAAGCCCTAGCCTCCTTGAGGAATTTGGATATCCTCACACAGGGGCCTCCCCTCTGTACTCCCTGCGACGCCACAGGGGTGGCCACAAAAGCACCCCGACTCCCCTGGCCCGAACCTCCCTGAGAGGCACGCCTAGCTTGGCGCCTAAGATCTCTTCTCAGCTTCTCTTTTGATACCATTCAAATAATTCACCCATCTGAGCGAACTTGGCATCACTCTCATCATTGTCATCGTTGGTGTAAGTATCACCCCCATCGTATGGGGTCTCCTCATGTTCCGTTTCGGGAATATATGTTGAGTCATAGTCCTCGGTGTTGGTTTCATGCACCGAGCTAACATGGCCATCGCTCACAGTTTGAGCCTGATGACCTCCATGGCCTCCTCGACCTCCTCTCAAGCCCCGAGATGCAACCCAGCTAGCCCCTATGGATGTCACCGGTAGGGTTGTAAACGAACTGAATCAAGTCGAATAATGAGATTTTGTATTTGTATGTGTTTAATATTTTCGAATACGAATTCGAATTCAAATATGAAATGAATATTAATTTTGATTTGTATTAGTATTTGTTTAACAATACAAGTAATTAACGAATCATATACGAATATCGAATCGATTTGAGCATATAGGTTAAATATTAATCAAATATCACTCTAAAATACATTTTCTTATACTCCGTATTTTTTATGTGGTAAATGCATGCTATGACTTAATATGTGTTTTTAGAATTTAAATTTAATGGATCAATGTATTTTTAGATGGTGCACATATACTAAAGTGAATTAATTTTATGATTAATAAATATAAATCTATTTCAAACTTTTTGAAATAATCACTAACACACACAATCACACATATTAGAAATTATACTTATATTGTGTGAAATAAGTTGATAAATGTATATATCAAAGTCAAACAACTCTAATTTTATTCTTTAAATCGAATACATAATTATTTGTATTGTATTTGAAAGACATTTGAACCAAAAAATTGATTTGTATTCGTATTTATATTCTGACTTATTAAATAAGGGTATATATGGGCTACACTTTTAGGATATTGCTATCTTTTAAAAGTTATTATAGTGTTATTACTATTATTATTAATATTACCATTTTTATTAATCGGATATATTTGATTAATATTCGAATCGAATACACTGATATTCTTATTTGTACTTGATAACAACTCGAATAAAATTTAATATTCTTATTTGTATTTGTATTTGAATTTTCCGAATTCGATTCGTCTTATACGAATTTGAATCGCGAATCGAGCACAAATTATTTGATTCGTTTACAACCCTAGACTCACTGGCGCTTGCCCCCTCGGGTTATTCCTCGTAGCCATGCGTCTACCCTCCATTTCTGAAAGAAATTTAGAATGAGCCGTTAGACTCGTTTCAATGTCAACTGACGGAATAGTACAAAAGACACCACTTGATCCAACGTTATGGCCAACAAACTGTTAAGGGTACCGTCTTAACAATAAGAGGTCAATAACTTAGTTTCCAACGGTTCCTTAATTACAAAAACTTTTGCTCATGGTTTTATTCAAAACTTTTTTTGGATAACTATATTTAGAGGTTAATTATATAGTTTAAAATCGATGGCTATGATACCATTTAATCGTCACGCCCCGGACCGCATCCGAGCCACGTGGACAACCGCCGTATAACCCGATAAGAACAACATTAGTTCATCCTTATTGAATCATACAAGGCGTCCGATAGATTCTATTGCCAAACCGATTAGTAAACACATACAATCAACATCAATATCGTAATCAAACAAATGCGGAAATAGTATGTTTGATATTTAGCCACACGTGGAAAACATGATCACGCAGGCCCCCAACTGTTTAAAGGAAAAACATTGTTCAAATATCCATGAGCAGTTTACAAATTTTAAACAAGAATGGAAGCACGAACCACGTCTTCCTTCTTGATCAGTCACCCTAGGCAAAGGTGCATGTAGTAGGACTCTAGCCTTAACCTGAAAAATGTGAGGGCCCCCGGAGGGGTCAGTACTCCATAGAAGTACTAGTGACAAGTAGGCTATATGAAGAATAACTAATGTTTCAGACACGAGACCCAAATTAGGGTGATACATATATATAGATGTCTCTCATCCACCCGATGATACATACTGTATATATGGATACATATATATACATGTAGGTCATTTACCTTAAAGAGTCTTTTAGAGATAAAGTTCTTACCTGACTTATCTCACTCCTTTCCCGGATACCTAGCTCATAAGTTATGTTCTACATTCGTAATATCCTACCGAGTTTCAGGATCATTTACCGTCCCGGGGATACTCAACCCCAACCGAGTTTCAGGATCATTTATCATCCTGGGGATACTCAACCCCAACCGAGTTTCAGGATCATTTACCGTCCTGGGGATACTCAACCCCAACCGAGTTTCAGGATCATTTACCGTCCCGGGGATACTCAACCCCAACCTTATTTCTTACCAAACTTGGATATGGCTAACCTTTCATTCCTCTAACTGTGGACAACATCTAGCCCTATAGTCATATAATAATCCTTAGTAATCAACGTGGATGGTTCTCACCCGAACGCCCCACGTTATACTCATTCAAACTGACCGTTTGGGTGTAAAACCCAATACCCGGTCGAGTACCAACATATACCCGATCGGGTATAGGAGATAGCAGCCCTTGGGGCAAGTTTTCAGCATATACCCGGTCGAGTATTTTCCAATACCCGGTCGGGTATGGGAGGCAGCAGCCCCTCGGGCAAATTCTCAGCAAATACCCGGTCAGGTATTTGCCAATAACCGGTCGGGTATAATAGTTGACTTGGCGGTCAACGCCCGTTTGACCGTCCAAACGGAGTCCGGTTAACGTGAAATTTTACATGCAAGTAACCCTTGACGTCCTTAATCCAAATATACCTATTTGGATCCTTGGAACATCATACATATCAATTTATAATAATTTTACTAATCAAGCCCATAAATCATGCTTTTCAACTATGTTATATTCCTTAACATGACATAGCACATACTTTAATATCATTAATCAATTCATAAAGCATATACTTGATTAATTTAGGTAATCTCATGTCTCACGCAAAAGTTATAAATCATAAAGCCGTCTTCTCACCTTAATGACGCTTATGAAGTTCTAGCCTTCCCGATTTAGCTCCGGCGAAACTCCGGTGAACTTCGGTGAACTCTGGCGACAATTCTGGCGACCCTTTCAACTCCGTGAAAGTTCCTTGAATACCTTATACAAGTTACTAACAAGGTTTTATCATCATAAAACCCATATTAATACAAATAAGAAAAGATTAAAGAAAACGAAATGAGATTAACAGAGTCATTACCTTGTTAATCTCAAGTTTAACATGTAGAACAATCCTAGGGTGTGAAATATGATTACATAGTCACAAGAAAAGATTAAAGAAAACGAAATGAGATTAACGGAGTCATTACCTTGTTAATCTCAAGTTTTCCTCCCTAACCTCCTTTTTTCTCTTCTCTCTTCCCTTCCTTCTTCCTCTCCTTGCTTTGTGCGAAAATGGTGGATGAAAATGTTGATTTTCAGGACTTCTCTCACTTAGTTGATGCTTGATACGAATGGGATGAGTTGGTGTGATTGAGAATACCTTTTTGACATTTCTCACCATAATATTATGGCAAAGGTCCCACCCTCCTATTGATTGGTCTTCCAATCACTTTCCTCCTTGTTTCTCCATGTTCTTGTGCGGCTCCCATTGACATTTGCAGACCCAAATTCGTCAGGTGGCCCCCACTCATGTGGGAGGTCATCCCTTTATGTCCCCAAGTGTACACTTGGTCCCGAAAGTTGTATTTTCCAGACTGTTTTAATTATAGTTTATTTTATCGGGTCAAATAAAATATAAATCATGTTCTCCATCATTATTGGACTTTATAATGAATATGAATTCCTCAACTCTAGTTTAGAAGTCTCCGAAATTCCTTTTCGGGCTGTTATCTGACAAATTGTCGATACTGATAATCGGACCTCGTTTGACCAACCGGTCAACCCTATGCCTTTCCCACGGCCCGATTAGGATATCCACCACCATATACATATTATCTAGGCCCAGATGAATATAATATGTGGTCCCGATAATATCGGGCGACCTCCACTTTCGGTGTGAGCCCCACGTGAATTCTACTATTCACGTAAAAGAAATGATAAAAATTTACAATCACGTAAAATGTGTTTATTCATTTCTTAGGATTCAATACATAATTTGATGAAGTACAATTACTTGGGGCGGTGTTACAGATAACGTAGCCCCCCGGGGTCATGTAGACGCCCGTTATCATCACTATAGAGATAAACTCTAAAGCAATGGCCTGAAAATATCGGTGATTCTTATGTTGCAACAGCAGGACTTCCTTCCAATCATTGGTCTACATCTATAATAGATGAGCCCTATGGAAGTTCTAACGGGTCATGTAGACCTGCAACTGACTCAAAAAATGCGTCTGTGTCCTAGAAATTTCAAAATATTTGGAAGTGAGGTAACTAGACACGACGTGAGCCATGAAAGTTCAGTGGCATGGGGCTGAGGCCGTTGTAGTCAGTATCACTTGAATCAGAAGGAGACAGTAATGAGAGATGTGGTTCCCCGTGAAATATGATTAAACACATGTCTGTTGGGAGACAAGTGAGTGGTCTTGGGTAGGGTTCAACATACACTGATGGACAAGATGCGGCGGTGACTTCTACCCGGGATCTGAATAAATTCAGTCCTGAACCTATTGGGATTGTCCAGAGTATTTGAGTGGCTAGGAGTAAATGTTCAATGGATAGCAGGCAGTTGAGGTAGAAGACTTTTCATTGATTATTGTTTTCTTGCTCACTTGAGCCTTCTGCTACCTAACGCTCATAATGATCACTCACTCACTCACTTACTCTCGGCTTTGTCCCTTGGGTAGGCTTAGTTGGGTTTACTAAGCCATAGGAACATGTTCTCTCATTGATTTTCTCTCTGTACTCCCCCTCAACTGGAGCCCTCGGTATGCTTTGTCATTGTTAGGCACCGGGGAGGATAACATTGAACACTCCCCCTGAAATGTTGCATCCGTTGAGAGATTCCTTGTTTTGTCGGTGTAAGGCGCCAGGAGGAGAAAAATGAAACTCCCCCTCAGAATGTGCAAGGGTTGATTGCTCACAACTTGTCATACCTGCCATGTGTGTGGAGCAATCTGAACAAGTACCACACATGACAGTTTCCCTAAGCTCATCATTTGGTTAGGGGAGGTTTAAATCGAGATCCTCAACTTCGAAGAATTTCCTAAAAAAAACTCAAAATTTCAAGATTTTCAGCGACATCGCACTGTTTTGGCCATAACTCGAGATTTAAACTTCGAGATGGTAATCTCGAGGTTTAAATCTCGAGATTACAATCTCGAGGTTTAAATCTCGAGATTACAATCTCGAGGTTTAAACTTCGAGATCTTAATCTCGAGTTTGCCTCGAAGAATAATGACGAAATCCACCTGCAAAACAAAACATCCGGACTTCGAAATTTTCAGAATTTCAAAATGTTTGGAACATCGAAAACTTTGGAGTTTCGAAAACCTCATAATATCGAAAACTTGTTGTTTGAAAAAACATCAGAACATCGAAAACTTCTTTAAAACATTGAAAAGCAAAGATTCATCCAAAAATCCTATAATGTAAAGCTTCGATGAACTGCGAAGAATGTCAAGCTTTGAAAAATTATGAGTTTCAAGAAACTCCAAACTTTGAAAGATTCAAAACATCGAGAAATTCCAAAAATCTCGAAATCTTTCAGAATGTTGAAATCTCAAACATCGAAATCCCAAAATATCGAGATCCCAAATTTCGAAATCCCGAGTTTCGAAATCCTCAAAATGTCGAGATCCTGCAAAAAGAAAACTTCGAATTTAAAAAATCTGAAAACTATTCTGAATAGCTCGAAGGTCAGGATTCTTTCTGTATCAGTTTCAGTTCGAAATCATTTCTGCAGCCATGTAAAAGTATAATCTCGAGATCTCAATGTAGAGATCTTCGAAATTGAAAAAATGCAGAAATTGAAAAGAGAGATACGTTGTAGAATCGTTTTGAAAAGGCGATTCCAACAGTATAATTTTTATAAAATTTCGTTCACAAACAAGATTACAGGAGCAAATCTTTATATCAAAGAAAAACAGAAGAAAAGCAGAGCAGTTCTTCGTTAGATTCGAAAAAACGCAGATAGATTCAACCTGTTTCACGCCTTGGCTCTGATACCAATTGATATTCCCTATTCTTTAACAAACAAACAACCATAGCAGGTAAAGAAAAAGCATATAGAAAGATATGAGATGAAAACCAAATCTTGTATACCCTGATAATGGCCGTTGCTCTCCCTCGAGAAGGAGAGCAGCGGCAACCCCTCTCTCTATCTCGCCTCTACGCACTCTCAAGCCTCGAAAACCTTAGGGTTTCCATAAGTTAGCCTCCTTTTATAGGAGAAGTTGGCTAACTTATGGATTACAAAGAAGCTAATGGGCTGATATACATTTGTGGCCCATATTACATGTTTAACTAATAACTACACAAATACAAAGATATTTAATTTGATTGGACACCATAAAATATTCCTAACATGATCTTATAATTAAAATACGGAGTATAATCCCAGTTCAAGCAAGGGAATCGCCGGTTGTGCAATTTGGACAGAAGAGCCCACCTAACTAGGATCATGTTCATTCCTAGACTGAGATCAATCTAACAAAAGGTTGAAATCAATTCATTATTGTTAAGATCTGAGATTCAATACTAAAATATCAACATGATAGAAGGAGTAGCTCAGATCTTAATATAGTGTTTAATTCTTTCAGAGATATCCGGTGTGGACTTTAACACCCCTCCTCACGACCAGACACTTCGTCTAGATCATGTCATCATTCAATTTTCATCGATTCATCATTGCCATTTTTTATAATTATGTCATCATTTTTCATTAGGGGGCCACACACCATATTTGACTCTGGTATCATGTTAAGACCTGACGTTCCATCCTAAAAGGTCAACCTGATAAGAGGAGTAACTCAGATCTTAATAGTGTTTAATTCTTTTAGAGATATTTGGTGTGAGACTTTAACAATTATTTAGTTTGATGGAAGATATTAGGGTTCCATCTTTTCTTTATTAGTGGATATATGTGCTATAAAAGGTTTAGATCTTGCATTCTCGCCCATGCTTTTAAATTAAATAGTACTACCTCCATCCCGTTGGAAGGTTCCTATAACAAAACGGTACAGTTATTTAGACAATAACTAAATAAAGTACTTCGAGTATGTTTTAGGAAATAATTTTAATAGGTATATATATTATAAAGTGGTTAGTATTGAAAACTGTGATGTTATAAATGTATGATTTTTAATATTTACTGATTAATTTGTCATTTAAGATTGTTAATTGTTTCCTAAAATGTAAATGAAAACCTTTATATGAGTCGCCTAAAAAAGGAAAGTGAAAACCTTCTAATCGGAAAGAGGGAATAGTAATAATGAAGTTACAATATTGCATGAAAGAACATGAAAACATGATAGACAGTCACCTACATGCCCTACTCCACGAAACTCACAAGAGGCCACGCAAGAAGATGAAAAAGTTGTGATAGTGCACCCATCTAAAATGACCACCACCACCATGTGCCATTGCCAATCTTTCCTTATAGACAATAGCGTTTAGACAACCCAACTAGCTATCTACAAAAAAGGCATTACATTAATACAAGGATGATTAATTGTGTTAACTTTCCATACCATTAAGAACTAACAAATTAAAGACAAAAAAAAATCGTTAAAAATTACTGAAATAAAATACATGGACGAAAATCCGACTAAATTATGGTCACAAAAATTATTATTATAATCACTAAAATATAAAAAGCCTCATTTTCAATTCGTTTTAGACCTTTGTCCATCATTATTTTAATGACTAATTATTAGAGCAAAGTACCAGGATAGTTAGGAGAAATTTAATTAAGAATCATCCAAATTAAAGTGCATATACATAAATACTTCCAGAAATAATGTTTAATAAGTGTAACAGTGTATCGTGTTCCTACAAAAACGAAAACTACACACATGTTCCTATTTGTGCATTTTCATGTTATTTTATTTTAATCTTATAAGATGCAATTTCTTAATTATTACATATAAATTTCTTTACATCTAAATTAAGACAAATATGTTGTATTACATTCCTATTATTTTGTGTGTGGTACCCAGATTGGGAGGGAACTCGCGGAGCAGTTGTTTCAGGAAATAAAATATACGAAGTACGTAGTATAATACTACCTAAATAGGACTAAATAATAAAAACATAATTGCAAAATAGGTTTAAAACCTAGTTTTTTCACAAATAGAACTAAACATTAATTTTCTATATATCATTAATATCCCTAATCTATATAACTAGTTGCCTCCTAGTTTCATTGGACAATCGGAGCGGTCTGATGAGGTTCAGTGGTGGCTGGACAATCCGATGGTGTCACAGAACAAAAATATCAATCGTCTATCGCACAAGCAGAAAATTGTTTGTGTTATTTCACAAAATGAATTTTTTTTGTCTATGAACAAAAAAAAGGGCGTGTATGGGTTTACAAAAGGAATTATTATTACACCCGCACGGTTAGCTCAGTTGATCGAGTGGTGGGAAAATTGGACCAAGTGACCAAGGTTCGAAACCCGCAGCGACCGTGTGGAGGTTACAGAACCTGAAATAAGGTTGGACTTCTGGTGCGCACGTGTATAAGGCCTACCTGAGTCACCGTGATTAACCTCTTCACCATCCTGTCGGGTCGGGGTGGGGGACTCCGAGAGGGGGATTCCACCTTTTGGATCAAGTAATAATTATTAATACAAGCAGACAAACCTGACCAGAGTAGACAATACTTAAATGACCATACCATACTATGCTAGAGTTAAACAAACAAGACTAGGTTTCTCAATACATGCTAGACAAAACCAAATTAGAGCGCATTTGATAATCTCTATTTTTAGCTAGCTTCTAAGTAAAGTTAGAGTTAATTTTTATTATGTATTGGTTGAAGTTACTTCAGTCGGAATTTATATATTTCAACATATTCAACTAATTTCATGTTACCAAATGGGTCCTTAGACTATACCCCGAAAATCTTGAACTAAATGTAGAAATCTTTGTAACAACAATAGTGTAATGTAATTATTATATGATGTTGGTCTGATATGTTTAACTTTGATCAAGCTATTTTGCGTAATCCGGTCTTCTATAAGACTAACATAAGTCCAACACGTCATAGCCTTCTTATGTATCCAATTTTTGAAATATACTTTATTTTATAAAAAAACAAATTGCATATGTAGTATTGATCGAGAGCTCACGTCATTTTTTATCTACCTAATTTTTTTGTACAAAAAAAATCTTATTTTCAAATATGAAAATAATTTGGTGTATAAATACAGCTAAATAAACAATGCCAACATTTTTTTAATACGGAGTATGTAAAAACATGGACAACTAGACAACTACTTTAATCTGATCTGTACTACTTTTCGTCCTGTGATGTGAGTTGTCAAATTACCTAATGATCTATACATTCTTTAATGAATTGATTCCATCTATCCCTGAAATTCCATATTGATTTAAAAAAAAAAAGTTTTTTTAATTGGTAAAGTGGGTTTTAAATCTCTATATAAAGCTCTCTCACAGGTCATTTCTTCTCATCACGCTAGGATATTTACAATCACAGGAACTTGCCACCTTTTCCTTCTTAGCTTCCCTATCACTCTTTTTTCTTCTATTCGATCAAATGGCTTCTGTTGAGGTATTCTTCCCTAGTTTTTCTCCCTCCTTTGATTGATAAGTCTATGATTCCCTCAGGATTCCTACTATATTTTTTTTCTTCATATAAGTCATGTCTTGAAACTTGGTGGTGGTCACAACTCACAGTCTCCTACTCTGCTCTATGATCGATCATTTGATGATGATCTTCCAAAATTTTACATTAAAATTATAACCATGTAGTTTATGAATCAAGGGTCTCTATTGTTTCAAGTTGTAAATACATTTGAAAAAGCATCGAGTTATAATTTTCTTTTGCGACTGAAACGAATTATGTAGCACATCCTTTAATGTGATTTTGGTTTTTCATTTTTTAAGTATTTTTCATATATGTTCGAATTGGATACTATTTGTAATACTCCCTAATTTTTTTTAATATGAGTACTTGTATCCCAAACACATCCGCATATCAAGTGAAAAAGTATAAATTTAACCACTATTGGAGTTTATACATCAGTCAAAACTTTAAACAAAGTGAGCAATTTATATATCAAGTAATGATTAATTAAATGAAAGTAGCCATAGCTTTTTGTAAATACTAGAACCCAGATTTAATTCAAAGATCTACTTATAGATTTCTTATTCTCGGCACAAAACTTAGACTTACAAATTTATATGAGTACCTTTTAAGTCATCAATTTTTCGAATATGCTCACATAACCTTAGTTCACATTTATGTGTGTGTACATTTCGGTGCAATTTGTATCGTGTCAGGTAACCAACGTGCGTTCATTTGCATAATCATCACTAATGATTCCTAACTATATGATCAAGGACCAAAGTAGTATATTTTGATCAAGAAAAAAAATGATATTATGATTATTTCATCATGATCTTTTATGCTTATTTCGATGGTAAATTTGTAGGTTCAATCAGCCCCTGCACCATTGGCAGAAATTAAAACAGAGGTTGAGGCGAGCCCCACAATAGAGGAACCAAAGGTAGAGGAAGCCGAGGCTCCGGCTAGCGCCGAGGCAGAGCCAGTTTCTGAAAAGCCAACTGAAGAAACAGCACCAGAAGCCGAAGCCGAAGCCCAGCCGAAAGCAGAAGAAGCTGTTGAGACCAAGGAAGTCGTAGAAACAGAGGAGAAAACAGAGGAGGAAACAGAGGAACCAGTAACAGTTGAGGAAGCTAAGGAAGAGGTTCAAGCCGAGCCAGAAGAAGAAACTCTGGTGACTGAAGCCAAGCCAGAAGAAGAAACTACGGCGGCTGAAGCCAAGCCAAAAGACGAAACACCGGCTGCTCCAGTAGCTGAGGAAGCCGCCAAAGAGGTTGTGGAAGAAGCAGCCACCAGCAATGAAGTTTCAGTTGAGAAAGCTGCCGAAGAGTGAAGTGAAGAAATGGGATGGTTTTTATGATTAAGGATGGGTTATGTTAAGATTTTAGTATTGTTTTTTTTTTCGGATTTGCTTACTAAAAGTACTACTGCTATGAATTACAGTGAGGGATAATTTGTAATGCTTGTCACTGTGTTGGGAGGTCACTGTGGGATGGGGGTTTGTTTTTATGGTTTGAATGAATGTGTCGTATGGTGCTTTGAATAATAAAAAAAAAAACTGTTTAATCTTTATTTTCTTTCTTTGTTATGATGGCTGCCAAGTGTATGTTTATTATCACTACTAATTGCGTGTTAGAATTGCTATAGAGAATGACACTCAGCCGCGCCAAGCTACTACATACATTCCGCTGTCAAATTTTGACACCACAACTTAAACAAAACGGGGTCAATCATCAATATGTGAATCAATAAATTGTACTCCCTCCGTCTCTGAATTATCTTCAAACTTTCCTTTTCCGTTCGTTCCAAAATTATCTCCTCCTTCCCTTTTTGACAAAGAATTTGTGGTTCACAATCATTCTTACACATTCTTACACATTTCTCTCTCCTCTGCACAACTCTCCACCATACAAAATCCACTATCTTAATTAGTGTGCCCAGCCGAAATGGGAGAAAAAATAGGGACGGAGGGAGTAATGGTGGTCCAATGAATATTCAAAATCCTTATACTAGTAGTCTAAAATCTTTTTATTATAGTTTATTAATTCATATTTTTCGAGTGTGAAATAATTTAGCATCTTTCCTCACAACTAGACTCTTGGTATAGGACGTGCTATCAATTTCAATTGACATGAATAATTATTTAATTACCCCTATACAATAAGATATGATTCTTTAAAAAAGGTGAAATTTTGACACTATAAACAAGAAGAGTCAACACACAAAAATACCATTTTAATGTTACTACTCCATCCCGACATACACTTTTTATTGAAAATGACACAATTATTTAGACAATATAACAACAACATCCAAACCTTAATCCCAAAAAATTTTGGGGTAGGCTAATATAATATTTAGATAATAACTAAGTAAATCTATTCGAGTATACTTTGAGAAATGCTTTTGATGAGCATATAATATAATGAAGTTATTGACAATAGTTGTGATATTATAAGTGTATTACTTTTAATATTCAATTATTAAGTTGTCATTTAAGATGCTAATTATTATTACCTAAAATAGGAATGACAACTTTGATTCATTGATTCAACGGTTTTTAACAAACTTATAAATATAAAAAAATCAAGGTAAAACTTATAAGCTTTAGACTATATGATTACTATTTTGACTTTAATTACAAACTTATAAGGTTTAGATTATGAGCCCGTTTGGTAACACTGAAATCGGCTGAATCGGTTGATTCTGCTGAAATTTATGAAGTTCTGACTGAATTGACTGATTCTGCTGATTTATGAAAAAAATTAAATATATTTTATTAATAAAATAAAGAAAAAATTATATGAAAAAAAGCTAAAATGATTCTCTACAGTAACTTCAGCCAACACAGCCAGAAAAGTAACTTCAACCTTACATTTTCTTATTATTACACAATTCAGCGAGCCAGGGCCGGTCCCGAGGAATGGAGACCCTGTGCAACAATGAAATTTGGGCCTTTTCTCAAGTTGGACCACAAGAAAATATGAAAGACTATACTAGTATTATTATAATTTATCGACCTGAAGTTACCTTATCATATATTTATACCGCTTTCTTAAATTTTAATTGCTAAACACATTTACACATTTATTATCAATTCAAATAATAGTTTACTCTAAGTGCAAAAAATCAACAAATAACAACAATACAACAATTCAACAAACATGAAATCATAGAATCAGAAAATAAACAAATTACAATCATTCACCCATTCAATTCAACAATTCAACAATTCAATAGAATTTACAAAATGTATCGTAGTAAAGTTGACCACTATACTAAGGAGTTCTTTCAAGTTATATCTATTTTTAAAGCTAAACACGTTCAGATTTTTAATTATTGGACATGTTGAGATCTATGAATTGCTGCGAAGACCAATAAGAACACAAATGTAGAATGTTTAAGAACAATAGCAGGAATGAACATAAAAAATAAAACTACGGTCATATTCTGCACCTGTTGTTACTTGTTATAAATGTATACTCTGATCTCTAGTCTTCTTCTAGTACTTAAAGGTGGATGTAGTGTCTGGTGGCGCAGGTGGCAGTCGAGAAGGTGCCGGCCGTCCTCTGGAGGTTGAATCACCAGAATCACCATAATAGGTCCAATCATCAGGCGATGAATCACTGGGTCGTTCTGTGTGTAAGTTCGGGAAAAGCACATGTAAATACGAATAGTCATATAAAGAAAAATTTATGATTGGTCAAAATGTTACGAATTAATTTCACTTTTGGTCCTACGAGTTTTATATCAATTCCACATTTAGTCCGCTTCTTTCACTGTCCACATTTGGTACTTGACTAATGTTGTTTTGACCATTTGTGGTCCTTCTCCGGCAATTTTAACCACCGGAAACATTGCCGGAAGGACCGTATATAGGCAAAAACACAATAGTCACGTATGAAAACTGGACAAAGGGAAAGAGGTGGACTAAATTTGAAATTGACATAAAACTCGTACGATCAAAAGTGGAATTTTGGTATAGCATGTTTTTGAATGTAACAGTCAAATGAATGTAAAAAAATACTCCCTCCGTCCCGTTGGAATGTTTCCCGTTCGGTTTACGATGCTTGACTGGCGATAAAGCAATTCGATCCCTGTTCACACTCCGCTTATTTTTAGTAAATAAAATTTACATATTCAGAAACTACATTAAAACCGCTACAAAGTCTGATCAAGAAAAGTTCAATTTGATAAAAAATTGATATATAAAGTAAAAGATTAGGAGTGATCTAAGTTGACCAATGAATAGTGAATGGGAACATTCCAACGGGACGGAGGGAGTAACATGTTTTTCTTCAAATGAATGTGACATGCATAAATGTTACAGTATACCAGATGCATGAACTAAAACGGCTAACTTAATTAAACACAACTGGGAAACAAAAAGAGACATGTTTTACTGCACAAATCAGATGCATGAAATGGGTTGGGGTGAGCGAGTCCGTTTGAACTTTTCTGAACCAACAAATGCCATGCAGTATGATAAGGGTAATACTGTTATAGTATGTCTGTCACCAAAATGCCATGCTCGGAGACCAATACGAAACAAATACAAGAATATGAAAGATATGTTGGAGTCGAGGGATATAGATACCAGCTCCATCATACTCGGAGAAGGTTGAAGCACTTGTCCGGTTGTCCAGTGTAGTTAGTTTTCGAGTAATCTCAGAAAGAAGAGAGGATTTTTTCTGGCACCCTTCCCGCTTGTGCTTTACATTTTGGTCTTCCATCAGCAGTTCTTCAATCCTTGACAGACTTTGTCCACTGCCCACTCCAATTTGGTGATAAACACAATTTGGACAATGAAGATGATATCACAAAGCACAGAAATGAAACAACTCTAAAATAAAAGATAGTTTTCACATGTAAAACGTAGACAAATCCAATGGCCAGATTTTCATGTAAAATATTTTCAATACAACTTATGTCCCGCTTGATAATATAAAAAGATAGGGCATGAGTCATTTATTTGGCTTGAATGAATTGATATGGATTTTGCCTTTGCTTTTTATTTTCTAAAATAGTTCAGCCATTTAATCGTTTCAGCCACTCCAGCACTTTAACCAAAATTTACCCTTACCTAAACGTGATTTGCAAACATCGTGCTAGAAGATAGTGATGCAAATACTAACCTGATAGAAATGTACAACTTGTTAAGCATGTCTTCTCTTGCCTTTTCAACTTGACAAAGAACAACAGCCTGCAAATCATATAAAAAGCAGAGCAGAGCATTTACACAACAAGTATAGAAGTAAAAGGATTAACAAATAATTAATGTTGCTATTATGAAAGTAAAACCCACTTTAGGAACATTGGCTGCAAGGCTGTTAAGAACAGCTTCAACATATCCACGTACTTCCTGAGACATCCAACGAAGCTCTTCTTCTGGATCTAGAGGTTTTCTAGCCATTGTATCCTATTAAAATCCAGCATGTTAAGTTAAGTCTTGGGTAGACAAAAGTCATACTAATCAGCTGTTCACTGTAAAGTTGGAAACACTTTAATTGGTCAGGGTTTTTACTAATTTGTCTCTATTTGCTGGTCTTAGACAAGAAAATGCGGAGTCTATGTTTAGTTCAAATGATTCATTTCTGTGTAATTTTTCATCTCACTTCATTTATAGCCATCTTCCTGTAAGAACAAATCAAAATTTAAATATACCATCCCCTTTTGGTCCCCTCTGAATCCCCGACCAAACACCCTAACGGATCAACTTTTAACCGAACTTTTTAAAAATAAAAGAAAATCATTACTCCAAGAGTTGTTAAACAAGAAACTGCTAGAAGACCCAAATGAATAACTTATGACAAGACATTCTGCTCATACAACTTACAATTGAACCCTCTGAAAAACTTTGTCGCATGGGAACACCAGTTTCTGCCCTCACTTGACCTCCTTTAGACCTTATAACATTTTTCAACTTATGAATCCATTCAGACTTTTCTGCCATAGTATCTGCCTTTAAAATCACAAAGCTATGTGCTGCAATAGCAAACTCAGAGTCTAAATAGGCCGGTATGGAAATTCTGGAATTGAGATTTCTAAATTCTTCATTAGGCTTGCTTGAAAATTTGATCAAGCATTTAATAAATAACATGAGATTTGTACTCGAGGGGGAAAAAGCAAGAGAAAATTTAAATAACCCTGTGAAAGATTGCTACCTTTAAGAACGGTCTTGTATTGAATCCGGCTAGTAATTTTGAAAGTTAGATTTGAATAATCCTTTTTGTCCTTGGAACTTTTAGAGGTGGAGGATTCCTCTTCGTCGGACATGTCTTCAAGATTACATTCCTGGAATTTTCAACAGAATAAATGAATTAAACTTACCATATTTAGACAATTTGATCTATGCATGTGATTGGCGGAACTCAACAATCTGTGATCTCAAAATGGACATTTAGTCTAATAAAATATTCAAAACACCAACTTGTGCACTCTCGAGTATTTAAGAAAGAGACATTATAATCACATAAGAGTTTTGTCTCGTATCGACGTTAAAAATGAACTTATGTATACATCCATTTTCTTTGCACTTTTAACTAACTACATCATAATGGAGGAAATAAAACCTCATATGCACCAATGTTTCATATATCATGTTTACGCAGCTGTAGCTGAGGATAACATAACTAACTCAAACTTGACTACCATCCAACACAGTAAGAAATCTTGACATAAATTAGAATACAGCCACCTAAAAGCAGGGATTAAACCTTATTACTTGATGAACAAATACAAGATATATTTAATTATTTAAGACAAGTATTAAAAAATAATAAAGAAATATTATCATGTCTGTAGCATTGGATCTCAAGCTATGATTTCATGTCCCAACCTCCAAATTGATTATGCCACGGAAGTGTCTGTCATCCTGCTTTTTTGTATATCCTAACTGCAAAAGGTAAGGCTGACTTCAGATATCCATTAAAGAAAGAATATCAAATGAGTGTCTAAGAGAGTAGTGATGTTATTATATTGGGAAAATAGAAATTGAAATATGAAAGGGAATATCCGAATATGTATTGAACTTAATTGTCCAATATATAGGCAAAGGTAGCAAGTACCGGATGATACAGAATAATAATTTAATGGGAATTATGGGATGCCAATTATTGACATCTAATGTATGGAGAAAGAAATTATTCCTGGACCCTAAGAATCTAGAAGACCACTTTTGATATATATGACATATTATAAGGTGAAAGAGTAATGAATACTGAGTGAACTCATTCACTCAACGATAGGTAGATGATCCTTCAAATTGAAAACCGTGTAACTAATAATAGTTAACATTGGATAGAGATGCATTCATAGAGTAAGTGCAATACTCAACAGAAAAAGTGTTGTTGTCAAATTGGAGATTTGCTTCAGTCATGGAGCAAAAAAGAATTGGCTTATTTATTTACTCAACGTGTAACTAATTGACAACCAACCAACTCTCATGAAAGTGAAAAGAATATGAGAGAAAGTATGTGGTGCATCGAGAGTGATTCTTAGAAATGATTTTACTTTGAGAGTGGTGGAAAGATATACAACTGACCTTTCCGCTTTTTTCATTCAACACAAACCATCTCTTATTCCAGCTATTAGCTTTAGCACTTTTCTTAAGTAGGAATCCTGCACCCAAATCAAAATCAATTTCTTACCTTCTTCCCACTGAAGATTTGTGTGGAGGATCAAAAGCTCAGAGATGATTCTAAAAAAACAATTGTGTTTAGCAGGGATAAAGTATGTGAACTTGTATTAGACTGGACAAATTTAAAAAATATGAAAGAAATTCCAGCATGACTAAAAAAGAAGGTTATACCACATAATCTGATTTTAAGTAAAATGTTTTGGCACGAGTGCAAGACATCTTTAAACTATCAGCATGCAGAGTTTCAAATAGACAGTTTGTCTTGAATTGGAATATAAAAATTGAATGTGGGATTATGCATACACCTGCAATAATTTCAGATTCTGGCCCTGCAGTTTTCAACACCACACCTTCAGGCATATCCTTATCTAGCTGACTAGGCTTATCTTTCATCAATTTCAAGCTCCCCCCAGGTTGAGGACTAGTTGCCTAATAGAGTGAAAAGGAAATCGGGATCAAACAACCAAGGGAAGAACATATAAAGATAATAAACTCTAATTCTTCAGAACAATGCATGTAAAATAAGTGACCAACATTTTGAACCATGTTAGAAGGTACATTTCTACCCTATTCAATATAGATGTCTCTGCCTCAGATGCTCTTTTAGAAGATCGGCTTCTGTGATCTTCATCTCGTCTGTACCTATCCATTCTGGAGAACATAAAAAAGATACCAACTTACTAAATAGCAAATTGGGAAACATTGTAAATTTGCAAAAGCATATAACAATCTGCAGTTGAGTATGAATTCTATAAGAATATGACACAAACTAAACAAAATATTACCACACACAGGCAATGATACTTTGAGATAGCATTCTAGCATTTCCTAGATAAAGTGGAAAAAGACTCATCATGGAAAAGATAAAAGCAGTTAAGCTGTATTAAGTGATTAAGACCCCTAGAACACTTCATATTGTCTTTATCATCCTATTCATTTGGAAATTGGAATGCACACAATGCTTTTCACATACGCTAGATAATGCACAGATTATGCACAAAGTGTAAATAGCGAAGAATAATGCGACACTGGAGTATACCGTCTTTGCACCATCCGAATGAAGTGTTGAGGAGGGACAAATGCCCTCTCCATGTCAACAAGCGCAACAACCATATGCTTTGCTTCATTCTTGAAAATTTCCAAGGCAGCAGTTGCGATTGCAACTACCTATATGAATTACAAGCTCAATAGAAGGTGTTGCGAAAAAATATGAGGAGGCATGGCAGGATGAGGCTTACTTCTCTCTTGAAAGGAGGATATCTGCCCAGACCTGGTGTACCATTTGCAGCTGCTAAGACAAGATCAGAAAGCACGCGGTGCACCTAAAGCAAGACATATCAAAATTTTCACCAAATAAAAACAGCATAGGGCAGGCCTTCCGCAATAAAACAAGTATGTGGAAACAAATGACAAAACAATTGTCATATTTATTAAAAGAGAAAAAAAATGTGGAGTTAATATATGCACTACATGAATAAATGTAGTTTAAATATGTTATATGTCAATTTTAATTTGTAACACTAGTGTGAATTTTATGTGGAAGAATTTACTTTATACTCAACCAAAACTCGTAACCAAAACAAGACAACAACATAGAAAAGGATAGAGTATACAAATACTATCCACTCTATCAGTCTGAGAAACCGAGACCAAACCAAACATTGTATTAAAGTTCATACAGAGTCATATATGCTGCAATGCAATACAGTGTAACGTAGTAAAACTATTTCTATTCGATTTGATTTTCCCATATGAGCTCTTCCGAGCATAATTGTTGATGGAGAAAGGTGAAGCAATGCATTAAAAGCAAAGATGCAGAATAAGGTAAACTTCACGGAACTTATGCAGTAGTACCTCAGCGACACAGAGCTCTGAAGGTTCTTTTGCCATCTCTAGTACACTTTTTATTAAAGACCTTAACCCTTTCTCTGGAGATATAAGGTAAGGTTGATAACCATCGGCCTCTAATACAATCTGAGACAAACTAAAATGGGTCATAAACTAATAAAGAACAGCAATTCTGGTATTGCTTTAAATAAAGAGAAGAAAAATAGAGTTTGTTGAGACTGAGTAACTAGGAGCTTACACGCTTCACATTTTTAATGTCAAAATGTCTATCCAAAGGGAGATTCTTCAGCCTGTTGGGAAAGTTTCCTTCAAAACTTGTAACAACTTTCCATCCGCTACCCTACACACTTAAAATCATTGCTACATAATAATCAACTAGAACAATTTTTCTTTCAGAACTCAACATTTAGACTTTTGTAATGCACATATTCAATTAAAAAATCACAAGGCTAAATGATTGCTGACTCTGTTTAGACAGAGATATGATGAAGGAAAGAGAAGAAGAGGAATAAATCCAACATAGAGTTAGACACATCACGAGTCTCACATCCGATGAAGATATTAATTCTCACCTCACCACTTGTAAGATGTTGGAGAAAGGTATCTTCAAATTCACGACAAAGCTCCAGAGCTAAAGCTCTTGTACCTTCAGCACTGTGCACTAGTCCACCAAGCTTTACCAATTCATCTTTTACTGATTGAGACATATCCTGAAGCCTATGAGAGTAAGCAAGTAAACATAAACATGTCCGCTCATTCAGAAATGGATTATAGGTAAATAATGAGAGAGGTGGAAAGGAAGATAGTAACTCAAGTATTCCATACAAGAAAGGATCAACTCTAGTGTATATGCTCAAAATATGATGACCTAGTGATCATCTCAAATTCTATATCTTATAGTTTAAGATAGTGCTGAAAGAGATGAAACTAAATAATATCAAATACGGAGTACAATGGATATTTTCTTTATGCATTTCCATAAATAGCTACTTGATCGGCTAGAGAAGATCGTGCTATCAGCATGACAACTCAAGAGGATACAGCCATAAAGATATATCACCTCTCTTTAATCCAACAACAACAAAGGCAACTGAGCCTTAGCTCAACATTAGCCCCCTCCCCCCCCCCCCCCCCCGGGAAAAAAACCTAGCATAGTAGGCAGCTCAACTCACTTCTTTAACGAGACTATATGTAGACCACTCTCCCGAGCAATAAGGAGAATATGGGAAATTAAACCATTCTACAAAATTCTTATTGCGATGGAAATCAGTGGTGTTGAGTACAAAAAAAAAGAATCAACAGCAAACAAGCATCAGAAATATTTAAAGCAAAAGGTAGTTTACCCTGAAAGTAGATTTGGTAGCCGCAGTTTCATGCGATTACGGATCTGTTGAGCAAGATTTTCTACTAAGGCTAATCTACCAAGCTTGCTTTGAGGTGCCCCAGGCAAAATAGATTTAAGGCTTTCACTCTCAGCTCGCCAAGCTGTTTCTAAAGAATCATCCCCAACATTTCCTGATTGGGCTGAAGCTATTGAGACAGACTGACCAATCAAAGCAACCCATGGAATATCAGATGTGCTGGGTGGTCCTTGATTAAGCAAAAGAGCCTGAACTTCTGAAAGAATCTTTGGATCTGAAGCAGCTTGATCTATCTTACTGATAACACCAATAGTTCTCGTAGCTGAAGCATGGAAGTTATACATGCTTTTCATGATTTGTATAGAAAGAGGATAATAAACAGAAATGTCATTGTATTATGTTTTAAATCTAAGTCAGAAAACTGGTATGCAAGATAGTCAAACTTACATTCTCCGTCATTCTCCTTCGCAATTCTAAGTGCTTTATATGTGGAAACTTCTGATGCAAGAGATGCAGGTACTACCACGAGCAATATTGCATCACTATGCTCAACATACTGACTCTATAAGGAAAAATCAAGTGTAAAATCTCATGTTATGACGGCTTCAAAAATCTAAATTGATATTCTGAGAAAAGGAACTCACTGATGAACTATCAAGGCGTCCTTTTTCCACTCCTGGTAAATCAATTAATTTTAATTGTGGAGCTGTAAACCACAAATGTTACCAAATCAATGGAATAAAAGCAAAAGAGAGTCAGGATAAGGTGAACAAATGGGAAATAAATAAAACACTGTCGCACTAAAACATATTTTCAGATGCTATAAACCACATATTCAAGAAGATATAAACTCCAGATGCAAGAAACCATGTATTCACGACTTCACGTAGATATACATCAGTATCGCTAATCATGATTCACATGTAATGCCCAGTTTTAAATGCTAAAACTTCATTAAGCTGCTTATCCAAATAGTCCACTACAGAGAAACCTGGCATTGTAATCAGTCTGAGTTTAAACCTTATATATGGGGGAACAGACTCCCCCAATGCAACTTTTTATTGTTAAAATACATTTACTGGTGAGAACAGGTATAAAATTGAAAGATAACAGCTAGTCTCTTGTTAGTTTGCTATGGATAAAAAATTATTGGAGTTCAAATTTAGACATACATGTACTACTTTTAAGCTTCAAATATATCTCATCGCGGCTCTTGCTCGACACTTTTCCGAATCTCTCCTGCAAAGAGCGGCGAAGAGAACCTATGTTGGGACAAAGATGGAACAAGCATAATCAGATTGTGACCTGCCTTTGGTGAAAAAATAGGCATATAGAATGCACTCTTGAGCGTGACAGTTACAGAAGGCTCTCATTCAAGAAAAAGCTAGGGGCTCACTTGCAGAAACTTCTTGGGATTTGCTATCAATCTGCAAAACAATTACTTTACTGCTTAAGGAACTCTCCCTTTTCAACTCCACGCATACTGAAGCACGAGTAGCACCACCTTCTCCAGTTGGCTGTTGGAGTACATGAAAATACTTCAAGTGATTAACGATGTATGTCCAAAAAGTTTAAACCTAGCACAGAGGCTGAGAACAACTCACCAAAACTGGATGTCCAATTAAGCTGTTCAGTACCGCTGATTTACCAGCACCCTGAGGAGTGATGGATATCAAAATCAAATCACCAGACACCACACAGTCTCCTTAAGATGTACAAATGTGGGACACTAACTAATTCCATCTACTTTGTTGACACAATAGGGATACTAGAAGAAATACATGTCCTCTTAACATTGTTAAATCACATATGCAACCGCGATTGAATAGCCCATACTCCCCATAACGAACATTTTGAGTTTGATTCATATGGCTAAATGCCATGTGTTGTCCACATTAAATTTAAATAGCCGTGTCAGAGTATTTGAGAAGACATTGGCATTAATATTTGACATTAGGAAATTTGCAGTATTCATCCATCACAGCGTGCTACCACACAATGTCATTTGCATTTCCAAGCCCAGCGGAGCCTACTTATCCACCAAACCAGAAATTGAACGTCCTCCGATCATCTTAAGAGTTAGGATGTACAGCGCATACTATTTAATTCATATACGAAGTATAACTGAGAAGCACAAACGAAACACATATGTGCACGCAGCAGTCCTATACAATGATCAATCAATTCTTTAAATCTGAACACTCATTAATATAACCGGGGAGATTCTATTTCTACGCATGGAAACCGTTTTTAATTACATTACCATGCAGCCGAGAGCAACTACGTTAAGGAACGTAGAAGGTCGCCTTGAAGACGCGGACATGACGGCATCAACGTCTTCGTTTGCGAGCAGAGCCCCAGCTTGGCGCATCAAATCGGCAAGCTGCTTCAGCTCCTCGATTTCCTCCATAGATCCAAAATCACGCAGTTGTCGATCAGCTTCGCACAACAGAAGCCAAAATGCACCTTCAAGGCATTAACGGTGCCGCAGTTCTCACCTGATCACATACACATCAAGGCATGCACACAGATATAAACACGTAGTAGCTCATCATATGATCATCATCGAAGGCGAAATTTGGAGTACTTTTTGTTTTTGTGGGTTCGAATTTGCACGAGAGAGATAGAGCTGAATGCATGCGATTATGGAACGCAGGGTGCCAAGTAGTGTTGCTCCGTTTTCGCTCCCGCTAGGCTCTGGGAGGAAGAGAGAGAAATTGGGGAAATGTGTTGTAGAACGTGTAAGAGCAACCCAATGGTATACTTTCTAGTTTCTAGGGAAGGTAAATTATGTCAAATGTCAAATAAATAAAAGACTTTCTAGACATACTGAAGTAACTAAACATTTAAATAAGAAAGAAGTCTCCAATGTAGTCTCAAAACCCAATTTTAAGTGCCCAGGTTTTATTACTCCGGGGTATACTACGTATTACTACCTCCGTTCCCATTTTAACTTCCAAATGGGTTTGCCACAAAGTTTGATAGTGAATATTGTGTGGTGGAGAGTTGTGGATAGGAGAGAGAAATGTGTAAGAAATGTTGTGAACCACAAATTCTTTACCAAAAAGGGAAAGTGGAAGTTTTAATTGGAACGGATGAAAAAGGAAAGTTGGAACTTTATTTAGGAACGGAGGGAGTATTATTTTTCTCTATCAATTGCGGATCAAATTTTCCAATCTTCCATACTTCTTTTCTTTCAGATAATAAATCAATTCTTCATTATTTGTGTGGATGGCTTTTTCTTAACTCTTTTTTTCTCTGATTTAATTTCTTCATCTCGTTTACAATTATTTGTTTTTATCCTTTGATCTGGTTGCTACTTCTGCTGCTATAATTTTTCGATCGGAGGTTGGACGCCGACCAGAGAGCCTTTGGTTGTGGAAGCCGCTCAAAATTTCAAAGAAGAAGAAGCACATCGTACTACACCAAGACTTGGTTCTCGCCGTGTGTTTGGCATTTTTAATGGAAGAGTAACAGTGAAAGGGTTAGTTTTAATAGGGTCAAAGAGGCGGAAGGGCTTTTTGTCGTAAAATATGTACAGATCAGCATGTGAAGTAGCCTTTCTACATTTAGACGTTTCTCACGACAGTGTTCAACTGTTTTTTGCCAGCTCACCCTAAAACTACATGCGTTGGAAGCAAAATTTGTTACACAATGTCTCAAATGATGACATGGCATGCTTTACTTGCACTAGAAAGTGTAGCATTGTGGTTGCTCTAAGTGCGATGATGATACGACGCTCCGTTTCGCTCGCCCCAGGCTTTAGTTTCCTCCTTCTCTAACTTGGGAATTACGGAATTAATGGGACTTACGTGACAGGGAGTAAATTGAGTTTGAAATTCTCCAGTTCAGGAGGCTCGACAAATGGAGACGTTTTCCTCCTACTTCACGGGACATATGTCCCCAAGTGAAGACGTTTTCCTCTATTTCAGTGGACATACTTCTCCAACAGGCCAGCAAGACCCAATTGCAAGACATAGTGATAAATTGTCAAACGATTTGACGACTTTCATCGACTAGAGTTAAGTTCAACGGTATATAGGTAAATAGTTTTAACTCAACATTAATTCCATAATTATTTAATTAATTAACATAAATCCGGAAAAAACTCTAATCGATTCACTTCACCTCATCTATGAAATAATAAAGTAACTTGTCAAAACTGATTGGAGTATTAATGGTAGTTTGACGTGCAGGTTTTTAAGAGGTTTTTAAAACTAAAAGATACAATACTTAGTAGGGAGTATCTTTTAGATTTAACGTGAATAACATCGGATAAAAGTATGGTTTTCAACATTAATTAGTCTTAATAGTTTGCATACCAAACATAACTACTAGTAAGCTTTTAATCAAACTACGTGACAACTACTAGTAACATCTGATAGAGGTAGTATACTGCCTTTTGTTTTATGATCTTTTCAGTCAATAACAACTACCAGTTACTAAAAAGCTCGTAAATGTATTCATGGATTATAGGGATCCAAACATATATAATTATGAGAGACTGAGCTCAAGAATGAAGAAGAAGATGAATGAATAGTAGAGTGTGAATGAGTAATTATGTTCTAGGGTTACAAGAGGCTCCAAGAGGAGTATAAATAGGAAAATCCGGGTCTGGACCTCTAATATGGACCTTACAGACCTGGTTACATAAAGGACTGATAATACAAAAGGCTAATCTAGTGGATACAAATACAAATTGGACAGTACAATAATATAAATGATATCGGTGAAGCGTGTGTGGGCCGTTGTCCAGGCCTAATAGTCATGAGACCCGAGGGTCCAAATCTATATACTCTATCAGGAGTCCCCCACTTCCTGAGTCGAGAGTACTCGAGGCGAAAGGGAGTAGAACTGTGCGTTGATTTGTCGTCGTCTGGTGAGTAAACTTCGTGAAATTTTTTTGAATTTCAGCTTCTTCGATTAACGGATGCGCTAAGTCCCCCGCTCTTCCAGTACGTCCCCCACTCCTTGAGGCAAGTGTAATGAGATGAAAAAGAGTAGAGTAATGCATGTCTTCAATAGGGGGCCGAGGGTCGACGCCTTTTGTCCATGTTGGGAGATGTCTCGTTAAAAACCTCACTAGGAAAAAAACCTGTGGAAAAAAATCCTAATGAGGGAAAAATAGTACACCGGATGCCCCCAAAATGAAGCAAAAGGGGTGAACCCTTCGGCCTGGGTGTGGAACTGCAACTGTCGGCATCTGCTAAGGGGATGGCCAAGATCGGTCAGCGTAGGTGCGTAGCTCGGCATGATAGGTAGTCATAGTCATCAAATAAATATGACTAAGAGATAGGTCGAGCGACCGTCCATAATGATGTCCGGGTCATCAAATAAAGATGACCAGGAGTATGGCCGAGAGGCCAAAATGAAATCCAATTCATCTTTTAATTGCACCTATGCATTCAAATAAAATTGTTATAATTTCTTGAGCTTATAATTCGCTATTGGATTTGGACCTACATTAAGTGGCCTCAAATTTTCAAGCTAGAGCTCAAGCTAGGTTTCTATGCTTAGTTGGAGCGTGGCACGCATAAAGGACTGAACCTACCGCTGGGGGATTGCAATTCATTTCCGATAGCTGGAGGGCACACATAACTCATACAAAACATAGAAACTAGAGTATGCATTAGATAACATTTGGATTGGGAGCTTACTATCGCCACACTCGTTTGACTTGACCCGGTGGTGCAAGATTTTAGCACTTTTCTGGTGTACGCGAGTGTTCAGAATTCATAAGTCAATTTTTCAATGTCAAAAATACACACTTTTTAAAAAATAATGGTAATAAATTAATAATCTAGCTCAACTCGTCACTCAAGTTCGTAGTTCGAATCTGCCAGATGCGCGCTTTTGGGGATCTTTTAACGGATGATTCGCCCATCAAGATTGAAGTTTGATGCTATATTATTAAAATATTTCATTTATGATTTTTTTGTTTTGTAATTTTTTTATCAAATTTATTGTTGGAAATTAATAAATGGTGGAGTTTTGAAACACTTAGCTTTGGAATGGGCTGAATGTTTGATGGGCTTGGCTGAGATGAATAATATGTTGCTGGTTGGAGCCCATCATTGTCAGTGAGAATAGTGCAATTTACCCGGTTAGACTCATTTTGTGTTTAAAATTTCATTTGTGTCCACCAACTTAATATTTTTCACATTTAACTTTCACCTTTTCACTTTTAATTTTATATTTCAAAAAGAAGCCTAACTCTCAACGCACCGGCTCTATGCATCTGCCTTCTCTCCCAAATGTTTCTTTCCGTCCATCTTCCATATTTGTTGATCTATTTTCTTAATCGTCTCTTTCACAGATAGCACCATCGCTATCGTGATTTCAAAAAGAAGCCTAATGATAGGCACTAGTTGTTAGTGCCTAAGTATACATTTTTATTATTGTTTGTATTGTTTATTTACTAGTTTTGTGCAAGTTTATAGTTGTGAGTTTGCATTTGATTGTAATCATATTTCTAGCATTTTATTGTTTGTTGTAAGTTGTAGTTAGTTTGGTTTTAAGTTTAGGATAGGTTTGAAAGCAAAAAGGATGAAGAAACCTAAGTTTTGTGCAAAACCCGGTCGGGTATGGATTTTACCCGGCCGGGTATGAAGTGACAAAGGAAACTGCTGCAAACTAGCAAATACCCGGTCGGGTATTCTGTGATTTCAGACCAAAAGACGTGCAGAAGACACAAAAACATGGGAAAATATTTGATTAGGTAAATACCCGGTCGGGTATGTCAAAATACCCGTCCGGGTATCCGACATTAGGTGTTGAAAACACCTATAAATAGCCCCATTTTCCTGCATATTTCATCATCCCTTAATCTAGCTCAGTTTAGAATAGCATTTCTTTATATTTTTCTAGCTATGTTTAGTCTCCAAATGAGGAGCTAAACTTCCATTCTTGGTTTTGCTCTTGAAGCTTGTTGATTATTAAAGTTGTGAGTTATTTTCTTAACTTCTTCTCTTGATTATTAATTCTTCCCTTAATCTCATTCTATATTAATGTTGGAGGGTTGCTAAGTGACGATTAGTTAACGTCCCGACATTAATTACTACTAGAAACGATCAACGAACCGATGGTTAATCGTTGGTGGTTTCACAAGTAAGTAACTTCGGTTTATTAATGCATGGTCGTGGTTAATAGACTTAAGAGGGATCAATTTTGTTGGTTAAACCGAAACCGTTGTGTTAAGGTTATCAATCTCAATTGATTTCATCAAGGAGTTAAAAAGATTGAATGCTACTATTATATCGGTATAAGGCGTTGTTCTATATTTGATTAATAGTAAGGGTTATTAATGAACCGTCGTTGTTAATAACTACCCTCGATGAATTGGAGATACTCCTCGATTGAGTATTCGAGAGGGGATAAGTTATAGATATAACAAGGATCGACTAAAATATATCAACAAGTGGAAAGTAGCAAAGCCAAGTCCCTTTTATTCTTGAATTAAACACATATAGGTTGTTCATCTTAGTTTTTAATTAAATTAAATCACTCAACCCAAATCCCCCCTTTTTATTTACTAAGTATCATAAAAAGAGAATTATTCCTTTCCCTGTGGATACGAACTCTACTACGCTATACTACGTATAAGTGTTAGTATTGAAAATTTATTTTGACGCACCGTGACAAAGTGCTCGTCAAATTTGGCGCCGTTGCCGGGGACAGGCAATTAATTTTTCTTTTATTTCATATCAAGAAAAAATCAAAAAAAAAAATATATACCAAACAAAAATATAAAGAGTGATTATTTT